CCGGCGGGCGGGCACAGGAGGGCAGCAGAGCTCCGCACAGCTCCCCGCCGCCGGGCACGGCTCCCGGGGCCCGCAGCCACGGGATGGAGGCCGGAACAAATTCGGGAATAACAGCCCAGTCCTTTGAGACGACAGCAGAGAGGTGCGGGGCTGGGCTGAACTTTGAGGGGACGAGTGAAAACCCCAGTATTTGGGTTATATACCCAAGTACTTTTCCAAGCGTTTGCTTCGTGGGCAGCAAGAGGAGGGATGTAAAAACACCTCACCCTGCTGTGACTTGTTGCAGCCTCTTGTCCCAGCACCGTCCTCAGCAGCCTGAAGAACTCGAGCAGATGCAGTGTCTGAGTGGGATTCTCCATCTGCCCGGTGGAGCCAGTTGAAATCTGGCCGGTAAAAGTGTAAATGCCGGTGTCTTTTCCCGGATCCCTGTCAGGCTGTAAGGATGCTAAGCACCTGGAGCCATGCAGGCTCTGTTGAACGAGCTGTCACGGTGTGAGGTCCTTTCCTTGCAGGTATTTTAATCTCTACAGACAGGGGAGTGCTCTCCTTAAAAGGATGATTGGTGTGTCCTCAGGGCTTTCTCCACACAGGTAGGGGCAAAACTGCACACTGGACTCTTACCTTAGGAGATCCATAACGTGCAACACAAACCGGATGAGTAAAAGCTTGATTTTGGTTACTGAAGAATTAACTCTAATTCCCTTGTGGGCCAGTCTCATCTCAGCTGCCTTAACTGGGAGTCACTCCTCTGTATTTCTTGGGCCAGGGAGGTTTGGTGAGCGCAGTTCTCTCCTAATGACCTGCGAGGAAAGATCTCCTTTCTGTATTGTGTGTCCTGTGGCATTTTGTGTTCCAGAGCAGAAACCCTCAGTGTTCATCTCTCATTTAGGTGGGGTAAAAAAATCAAAAGTTCTTCTGCAAGTTGGATGCCATTTACAGCCTTGCCTTTGTCTTGGGTCATTAGCACTAAGCTGGTGATAAGCTGCTATTAATTAGGGATTGTCAGCACGTGCAAATTGGAACAAGAACACACCAAATGTGACAGCTCGGTCCCGCTGAGGGAGCTGGCACTCAGAGCCTCCTGAGCTGGTGATAAACTATTCTTTGAGGATCTGCCCTTTGAAGTCCTCAAAATTTCCTTGAGAGCATCTTGCTGGGGTTTGGTGCAAGTAGCCCTTCACAATTAGATTGCTTATCCTGATGAAGCTTTGGCAGCTGCTCTCTTTATCACCTGCAAGTTTGGTGATGAGCACAGTGGTTCCAAAGGCCTTGGTTCAGCTATTTATTGGACATGTGGCAGAGTGTGGATTGCCTCCTTGTCCCTCTCCCTGTGTGCAGACCCTGTGGGCACTCCTGGGGCTTGGCCTGATGCAGTGCCCTGGCTGTGCTCACACACTGAGGCTCAATCCGTGCCAGGAATAGCGAGCTGGAGATCTGATCCAGCCGCTCGGCTCTGCTGCTGGGCTGCCTAGGGCATGCTCGCCAAGCAGGGCATTCTCTGGAAAACCTGCTAATGGAAAGTCTTTTCCTTTATTGTGATCTACATGGGAGTTTTACTTCTTCCAGCACCGTGCTTCTGCAGGCAGTGGGAGAGACCCTGCCTTGATGTTGCAGTGTAAAAATGAGTTTCCACCACTTTGCCTACAAATAATTTTCAGCTGTAAACTAAAATAAGTTCACTGAGGAGGAGCCCATAAAGACTGCATGTCCCGATTAAATGAAGCCATTCCAGAGCGATAACTGGCTTAACCAGAGTGCTCCTTTTGCACAGACCCAGCCTCGTTACTTGTTCTTAATGAACAATTGGCAAACGCCAACGTGGCTGTATTTTCAGCAAGTGAAGAACCCTCCTGCTGCTTGAGGGTTTCCTCCAGGTTAGAATGGAAGGATAAGTGATGGGGAACAAGAATGAGCAATCCCTGCCTCTGGAGTTGCTATCCAGAACGGGATGGAGCCCTTGCTCTTGATCCCAGCAGATTCTGTGCACCTCCACAGAGCACACCGTGGTTTGTGTGCTCCTGGTGATGCCTGGAGAGGGCTGGCCTGGAACAGAGGCTGGACAGGGTTCAGAATAAAGCAGGGATTTATTGAAAGGCCCTAAAGGACACACCTGGGGCAGTGCAGGAGCCTGGCCAGGGCTACACCCAAGAAGGACCAAAAATGGTCACAGAATGGATGATTGCTCACCAGGGCTCACATTTTTATAAGTTTTGGTCCATCTGCATATCAGGGTTCATTGTCCAGTCCCAGCTCCAGGTTCTGGAGTCCCATCCTTGTTTTCTCTCTTCAGCCCAGCGTTGTTCCTGCTTTTGGGCCTGAACCCTGTAAAGGCTGTCCTTGGTATGGAGCTGGAAAAGGAATTGTTTTGTCTGTGAAGAGAGCTCACTGACACTGAACACGAAGCTCAACACTCCACACCTGGGCAGCGCAGAATGCGAAAAACAGAAAAGCTAAAACTTAAGGCGCTCAAAATACGATTTGATTTGCTTGCATTTAATTGACCTCCATATTTTAATTGACCTCCATATCCTGAATTAACCCGGTGTCCCCCCCGTGTCCCCAGGCAGCCGGGAGACGGCGTTCACGTACGCGGTGAGCGCGGCGGGGGTGGTGAACGCCATCAGCCGCGCGTGTCGCGAGGGAGAACTGTCCAGCTGCGGCTGCAGCCGCACCGCCCGGCCCAAGGACCTGCCCCGGGACTGGCTGTGGGGAGGCTGCGGGGACAACGTGGAGTACGGATACCGCTTCGCCAAGGAGTTCGTGGATGCCAAGGAGAGGGAGAAGAACTACGTCCGAGGATCGGAGGAGCAGGCGCGCATGCTGATGAACCTGCAGAACAACGAGGCTGGCCGCAGGGTAAGAGCAGTGCTGGCCTCTTCCTCTTCCTCTTCCTCTTCCTCTTCCCCTTCCCCTTCCCCTTCCCCTTAACCTTCCCCTTCCTCTTTCTTCTTCCTCTTTCTTCTTTCTCTTTCCTCTTTCTCTTTCCTCTTTCTCTTTCCTCTTCCTCTAACTCTTCTTCTTCCTCATCCTCTTCCTCTTCCTCTACCTCTTCCTCTTCCTCTTCCCCTTCCTCTTCCTCTTCCCCTTCCTTCTTCCTCTTTCCTCTTTCCTCTTTCCTCTTTCCTCCTCTTTCCTCTTTCCTCTTTCCTCTTTCCTCTTTCCTCTTTCCTCTTTCCTCTTTCCTCTTTCCTCTCCCTCTTCCTCTCCCTCTCCCTCTCCCTCTTCCTTCTTCCTCTTCCTCTTCCTCTTTCCTCTTCCTCTTCCTCAGGGTCTGAAGGCTGGGGGTAGCTGGAGATCACATTCCCAGGGGTTTGCTGGGGGATAATCCAGCCATGCCCCAAGAAAAGCGAACAGACACATTTTCTACAAATATTACAGACAATATTGACAGTATTCCAGGGCTTCCATTGCCAGCTAAACCAGTGAATTTTGGGGTCTGTTGAGATACTGTACAACACACATATGCAGACAGTTCAGCCCTTTCCAAATAAACTAGGTGCTGTTACAGCCCATTTTTAAGGTTTATGTCTAAGAAATCAGTTTCCAGAGCTGTGAGAGTGACAGGCTGGAGGTGAAAGGAAGAACTTTTGGCATGTAGAGTTGTCTTCTGCCACCATCATTTAGATTTTTGGGAATATAAGGCCAGGAGCCTGGCTATCTCTGAAACTCTTGCTCAGTTACCTTGGTACTGGGCACAATAAATAGCTCACATTTAGGTGACAAACATTATCTGAGAAGATTCACAGTTTTGATCTGGGGATCCCTAGGGATGGAGAATCCATCACTTCCCTTTGTAGTATGATACCAGCATTAATCACTATTTCAGCTCTGAGCCTAATGATCATTTGGATTTATCTGGCACCAGCTTCTACTTCCTTTTCTGACTTGTACAGCTTAAATCCAAAACCCTCTTAGTAATCAGAATTTCCTTGGCATATAAGTATTTATCTACTGTCATTTATTCACCATTCTTTCTTGACAAGCTAGATTGAGCACTGAAAACTCTCTCACTTGCAGAGGTTCTCATCAGCCATCAAATCATTTTCCTGTCACTTTAGTGTACCCTTTCCAATTTTCCCACATCCCTTTCATATGCATTCAGTGTATGCACTTTTGCTTTTCACACAATTCCTGTGTCTGTGATGAATAGCCTGGAAGGTGTAGCATCATTCATATGCAGTGCAGCTGTGTAATCCTGCCTCTTTCCAAAAGTAGAACAGGAAGACTAACCTGGACATTGGTGATTTTCCCCAGGGTGTTTTAAATTTTTATCATTCTTCCCTAGAAGTAAGCTTTTCAAAGGTTAATTTTATTTCTAATTCATGTTTTAAAAAAAAAAAAATCCCATTAAGTGTACTTAGTCTTGCTCTTCTGCACATTCCTAACTGATATCCTTAGTTTCCTTATTGATTTTTTGCCCTTTCTTCTAATTGTTACTCAATTATCTTTCCCTTTCCTTTGGATGTCTGTCTTTGCTGCATGTAATTTCAGCTTCATTTTGACACCAAAGATGATTTGTTCAGTATTTTTTTTTGATTGTGAAATCAGTGTGTCAGGCTGAAGCATTGCAAGTACTTCATGCTTCCTTTGCAAAATCAAATTGGGGTAAATTTGCAGTAGGTGAAAAACTGGACTTGAAAGCTGAGTTTTGGTTTGGGATTGGGTTTTTTTTTGGCTTGGATGGGCAGAGGCTCTGCATTTGCTTAGGGATGGGGGCTGTGTGGGGTGGAGTGTGACACTCTTTTCTGCATTTCTTGCTTTGGACATCCTACATATCTGGAGCATGAACTTGGATTTCTACAAATAAATCCCCTGCCTAAAGCAAGGAGTGAACATGAGATCCCAGCAGCCTTGAGGGGTCCAGAGACAGAGTCTGGCCCCTAGTCTGAGGTGCCAGGTGAACTGCAGTAACAGATTAAATGAGCACAAATCATTTTAGATTAGATTAAATTAACTGGAAGTATAAACCCGTGTGTAATTAAGATTGTGGATTTAAAAAAAAAAAATACAAACAACAAAAAAAAACAAACTCTGATAAACTAAGGGAGCTGGTTAATAAGCTCAGCCTAGGAAATGGATGTGGAGGAGGTCTGGAACTTTTTCAAGTCAAAGATGCTAAAGCCATTACAACTCTGCATGCCAACAAGAGAAAAAAGGTTGTAGGAAGAATATCCAGACCTCACTGAATGAATAACTGCCACAGAGAAGCTGTTAGGAATAGACCAAGAATGAAGGGAAAAGATAGCAAATAAATACAAAAAGCTCTCTCTTAGAGGTCAAGAAGTGGAAAGAGGAGGTGAGAACAGGAAAAATCATGCTGAGTCAGACCTTGCAAAGGCTAATAAAATAAACAGCAAAAGTTTTTTAAACTTTGCAAATCAGAGAAGAAAGGAGACAGCCAGTGAGGATGGGGCTGAGTCTAAAGGCAGAGAAGTTTTGGTACCCAAAAGTGAGTGAGTGCTTTGCCTGGGGCTTCGAGTTGGAGTGGGGAGCATTGGATATCTCAGGGGAAAATAGGAAATAATTTGAGAAGACTTTTTTTCCAAAGTTTGATCCCTCAGTCATTTAGAACATCACTGACTTTCTAAAAGCAGACTAGATCTGGTAGGCCTCATTGATGTGAACTTGTGTGAGACATCTGAGGTATTTCCCCCCTGGGAAATTCTTGGTTAAACTGGGAAATATAATGAAAGTTGCAGTAGCTGTGAGATGGACAAGAAACCGGTTTGAGGAAAGACGTCAGTAAGTTGTGTGAAAGAATGGAGCTTGATTTTAATGGAGCTTAATTAGCAGAGCTCATCAGGGACTTGCCCTTAGGATTTTTGTTTCTCAGCCTCAACACAGGCACTAGAAATGGGCTGATGAACTTTGCTGTTGATGCAAAGGTGGCAGATATTATGACAACAGAGAGGAGGATGTGAATTTTGTGCAGCAGCTGGTGACACTCAGTGAAACAACACTGAGGCCTCGTATGAGACACATCTTTAGTCATCAGGACAAGAGCAGGAAAGAAATGGTCACAGCAGTCAGCTGAAAATGGCTGCAGAAGCAATGTGGCTTGGAAGGTGGTAAATATCCTGTAACACAGCAGACATAAGGCTTTTTATACAGCATGGGGGAATACTAATGCCATTGTATTGGGCTCTCGTGAGGCCCCAAAGTATTGTGTGTTCTCATATTCCCAAGTAAAATGACCTCAGACTAGAAAAGGCTTGTTAGGGCAGACCCAAGGGATAGGAATCTTTTCTTAAGAAAGTGTGCTAGAGCAGCTTGCCATATTTAGCCTAGTAAAGTGAAAGTGGAGAGAGGATATGACTGATGTCTGTGTTCGTGGGAGAAATAACAGGGAAGGAAAAGTACTTTGTAAGCAAAAGGCCAATTTGGCACAGTAGCAAATGGGCATAAAGTAAATACATACAGGCTGAAAATCAGAAAAAGATATTTATTGTTGGAATGGCAATCAGAATAATGGTGGCTGAAAACTTAATTGCTTTTAGAAGGGCATCCTGTGCATTTAGGGAAAATGTTACTTGAAGTGGTGCCTACAATAGCAAGAGATCATGCTTAATAACCCAGGAGGTCCTGTCTAATCCTGCATTCCTAAACTTCTGAGATACTGGTTTTGTAAGCAGGGAGGTGCATATGTAACCCCTCATTCCCACAAGTTTATGCTGGAAGGAAGGACTGCTGGACACCCAGCAGTGAGCACCAGCTGCCATCCCCCTGCAGCCTCGCCCTGCTTTCACAGCCAGGGTTTCAGCTGATCCCTTCTGAGTTACAGGCAGATTTTTGGCATGTCCCTTCACTCAGTTTCCTATGAGTGAGAAAGCTATTGAATCCTCAATTGAATATTGAGGAGCTCTGGTGGCAGGAGAGGGGATTGTCCCTTCTCTCTGTGGTTCTCAGAAGGAGCTGGGGGGGACAGGAGGGAATCAGAGGTCTTTTATCTTTCAGGCAGTCCTGACCCCATCACCCCTTCACTCCACATCGCAGTCCTTGGGCTGGTGGCTTCTGGCTTTATTGCTCTTGTTTGTTTGTCTTTGGCTGTTATCTCAACATGTCCTTTCCTTCCATCTGTCTTTTCTTCCAGTTGGTCTCCATTAGCCTCTCCTGCTGCCCCCCTTCCTTATCTGTGGCTCTGTCTGGCTGTGGCAGTCTGTCCTTCCAGGCTGTTTACGCAGCCAGCACATGGCAGCCCTCACTCAGCAGGCACTCCAGCCACTGCCACAAGAGCCTGGGGAAGGGGGTCTGCCTGACTGACCACATAGGAATGACCCATTTGTTGCCATTCCTGCACAAAAAGAATTGGAAGAGAGCTTGGGCTTATGGAGGGGGCTTTTCCATTAGAGGCATTTTCAACCTGTTTAGGTGGCGTGGCCGTCCATCACACCCTGCCCTCAGAGCTGCATGTGGGGTCTGGTATTCTTTACCTTGACCCCAGCCTGGCTGGGGAGGAATTCTCCAATTTCCTCTGCTTTCTCCTCATCTGGGCAGTGGAGGGGGAGAGTGGGAGAGTCATTTAGCAGCTGAAGCTGTGGCTGGCTCCACAGGACACGGGTGGTGGGAGCTGTGGGGGCTCAGTGGCAGCGTGTGCTCACCTGTGATCACTGGCAGCGCTCGCCTTCCCCACAGCAGCTACTGCCCACGTGGGCCAGATGTTTTGAGCATCAGTTGCCTCAAGCCAAGTCAGAGTGAACTCATTCCCCTGACATTAACTGAGGGGGATTGGGTTGCAGTGTTTTTCTAAAGGAACAAAGCCCAGGATTAGGCAGAATCATAATACTTTATAAAAACACATGCAAGGGCAAGGGAGGCATGAGTGGCCTGGGATTTGACAGAACCATAACGAAAAAGTGCTAACACAGGCTTATAACAAGCAGGCTGGCAGTGCAGTGAGGATATAGTGAGTGTCTGGTGCTCAGGAAATTCAGCTGTAGCCTGTCTGGTCACAGTAGAGCAGGAATCCTTAAGTAACGGTGTGGTTGGTCCTCTGCAGTTGTAGTTTGATCCAAGACTCCCAGCTTGTAGCTGTTACATTGCACTGTGAGGGATTGCCTTGGTAAATTGAGCTCTGAGGAGCAGAACTAAAGCTTTTCTGTTTCAAGGACTCACTCCATTGACTTTCTCAGGAGCTGGATTGGCCTCCATGTGATTTAGCCATTAAGCCAAATTGAATCTTCACTAGCTGTCAAAAGCAGTAGACATTTAGCTGGGCAAGGAGCAACCAGTTGCTGTAGGAGAACTCTGACCTCTCCCTGCTGGTCCAGAACGTTGTTGTAGGCAGAAGGTTTTGCTTGCAGTATGCTCAATTGCCTTAATCACCTTGGCACGTGAAAGCAGGGAGCTGGGAAGCTTCCTTCTCTGTCAGTGAGTGAGGCAAAAAAGAAAACCTCTGTGTTTGGCTGCTTTTTTCCAGCAGAAAACCTGGCTGGAAGACACATGGCCATCTCTTTCAGAGCGCCCTGTTTTGTTCTCATGTTCCTCCCTCTCCCCCACCAGATACAGCTGGTGGTAATTTTGCAGCTGATGCCAAACATCTCTGCTTGGCATGTGGGGTCTGGCAAAAGCACTGCAGGATGCAGGATGGTCTTGGGAGAGCAGATGTGAGCCTGATGGTGAGAGGATGAGGAGCCAAGGGCTGGGGGATGAAGCTGCTGAGTAGCTCTGACGGGGAAGGGATCTTTGCAAGCTCTGTCAGCTCCCAAAGCATTGCACTTCTGTACCTGGCTCTGAAATGAATGGGAAGAACAAACCCAACCTGCATTTCAGTTTCCTTTCCTTGGTTTTGTTTTGGATTTCTCGGTATTTCTCTCGCCTCCCAGCTAGAGTGGGGAGGAGGAGAGTAAACACCCTTTCCCTTCACTCGCTCCGATGAGAGCTTTACACTCGGAATTTTCAAGGCTCTTTGCTAACTTTGACGCTGGATTTTCAGGGGGTATGATACCTCTGCAGGCTCCTGAAAACGTAGCTGGAAGTGTCTGGGGAGAGCCAGGGCGGGAAGCTTGGGTGTGCTGTGGAAATCGTGGCTGTTGTGCCCTGCTGCTGGAGGGAACCGGGCAGGATGGCGCAGGAAGGCAGCGAGGGCTCCCGGCTCCCTCCAGCTGCCTTCCAGGGAAATGTGTCCGTCTGTCCAGCACCACCCCTGCCTGGCCCTCTCTGGACACCCCCCAGACGAGCTGCTCTTGGGGGGGATGAAGGGGAAGGGTGTGGGTCCATGGGCTTGTTTCCAAAGGATGCAGATGTATCCCTGCGACGGTAGCGTCGGTTCCTGGTGAGGGCGGTAGGAAATGGGCTGGTTCCCAGGTGCTGTGCAGCACTGAACAGGAAAAACACACCACACCCTGGTGGTCTGTGAGCTGGGGAATTTCCAGTCCATGCAAAGAGGGCTCCTTCTCTTTTTCTCCTGCACTTGGCCCTGCTGTCAAGCCAGAAATCTGCCAGAGGGAAAGAAGGTGGGGTGAGGAAGTCGTGTTTGCAGGCAGCGTGACCAGAAATAGAAATATTTAGGGAACAGCAGCACAGCAGTCGCAACAGGGGGAGGAGAAGACCTTTGTCTCCTCTGAAGGGCGAAACAACAGAAACTGTGGGGTAATCAAAGCGGTTCTGGAGGCGCGATGAATTGGCTGTAATTAAGCCAGCTGCCAGTGCAGCGGGAACAAACGCAGCTCCTCCTCCTGATGGCGTTCCTTTCCCCCACAGGCCGTGTACAAGCTGGCAGACGTGGCCTGCAAGTGCCACGGCGTGTCGGGCTCGTGCAGCCTCAAGACCTGCTGGCTGCAGCTGGCCGACTTCCGCAAGGTGGGCGACCTGCTGAAGGAGAAGTACGACAGCGCCGCGGCCATGAGGATCAGCCGCAAGGGCAAGCTGGAGCTGGTCAACAACCGCTTCAACATGCCCACCCAGGAGGACCTGGTCTACGTGGACCCCAGCCCGGACTATTGCCTCCGCAACGAGACCACGGGCTCGCTGGGCACGCAGGGCCGGCTGTGCAACAAGACCTCGGAGGGCATGGATGGCTGCGAGCTGATGTGCTGCGGACGGGGCTACGACCAGTTCAAGAGCGTGCAGGTGGAGCGCTGCCACTGCAAGTTCCACTGGTGCTGTTATGTCAAGTGTAAAAAGTGCACAGAGATCGTCGACCAGTACGTCTGTAAATGAAAGGAGCCGCCAAAGCAACAAATCTATATTATATAAATCTATATAAATATATTTTATATTTGTATAAATAAACAGATGGTGATAATAATTAAAAGAAGCTTATTTAAGAGACATTTTGGTTTTGAAATTTCCCCCCCCACCACCTCGTCAGGTCAGCTGATTTGACATTCCTTCAGTTCTGCTGGGGAATTTGTCTTTGGGTGGAGCTCCCCTTGGGGAGATGGGCAATACCCCATTGGCATCTGCCCTGGGATGTTTCAGTCAGGGTGAAGAAGCTGAGGAGGTGCTATTTCATTACACAAAGCAAGCCAGTGAGAAGGAGTGGGTTCTTTCTTCTCTCTGATCAGTAAATCTCAGCATTTTGCAATAGTTACTGCACACTGGAAATTACAGGCAGCCATGGGTGAGTCCCAGTTATTCAGATTTCAAATCCTGCACTGGGAAATTCAGAACTGACTCTTGGTCCCTCTGAAGGGCTTTGTCACATTAGAGGGAAGGTTAGCTAAGGCTACGAGGGTACGGCTTAAAATCCACAGCCTTGTAAAACCATTCCTGGATGCTCCCCAGACCACAGTGGGGTAGAGGAAAGTTCACAGCCTGCTGTTGTGAGGAAGGAAGGTTCAACCTGTGGCTGACCAGTGCACAGCCTGGGAGTGCCCATGAAGCCAGAACCTGGCTCCTCTGTGCCGCCAAGGGAAATCTGCCCGGCTCAAACCACGTGGCTGTGTGTGCTAGGGATTTTTGTTTTCCTTTTCCTTCAAATCCCATGCTGAAAGTTAATTTTTCAATAGGGAGGAAAAGCTGCCGGTGCCAGGGATGTTTGCAGAGTGTATTTTGTCAGTGGAAAGAAGCACTGCACACACACACACATGCACATGGCTGCGCTCCTCATCCTGCTGCAGCTTCTCCTCTCTCGAGTGGATGCAGGTGGTCACCTTGTTCAGCTCTATTAAACCCTCCTCACCACCAGCCCAGCTGTATATTTCTCTCCAACACTGAGATCCCCTCAGTGACATTTCTTTCCCTCTGTTGCCTGTGTGTCCGTGTGTTTTGGTTTGTTCTTTTGGTTTGTTCTTTTATTTTGCTGCTCTGTGTTTCAGAGGGCAGGGGCCGTGCTCTTCCCCGGCAGGAGCCAACCACAGGAACATTTGCTCCCAGAGCATGGCTGTGTGTTCACCGTGGAAGTCTCTGTGTTTTAACTTGGTAATAAAAAGACTGTAATAAAGCTGTACCAGGGCAGAAGGCATTACCAAAGTCTCCTAATCGGTCTTACCACATTGGGATTTTAGCACAATCCAATTCATAAAGCAGGGAGCAAATGCTGTTCCTAGCACAAGACGTTTCCTGTACCTCTCAGCATCTGCAGAGTTCATTTGCAGTCAGAACAATCAAGAGAAGCCAGTTCCCAAAATATAAGGGTTTGCTAATATTCATCTGCTTTGTCACTGACATTGCAGGGGTGTTGGGTTTTTTTTTTTCCCTTGTAAATTTTAAAATGCTCAAAATATGCCAATAAGCAATGAGCCAGTCATGAAGATTATTGTTTTTATATTAAACCTCTGTTTCTTATAAAACATTGCAGTTTTACAGATTCCACCATTTCAACCACCAGAGAAGAATTTATATGTACCTTTCATACTTCAAATATTTGAGGACTCCAGAAAAGCACAAGGAAGAGAAATTATGCTTAATAATTAGGAGCTGTTGTTTTTTTTAAAACCAATGTGTCCAGTTTTTATTTTATTTTTTTTAATCCAACAGGCAATATATTTGCTGGCATCCCAGAATGCAGTTTTTTTTGGAATATAAACAGTGGCCTAGATTCACTTTATTATATAAAATCCAAAGCCAGTGGTATTGTAATTCAAAGTAACGGAAATAGTTTTCCATGCATGGAAAAAATGTGAGTGCAGCAGCCTGATCCAACTGCCATTAAACTTCAGTGGGAGCTGGACTGAGCCCAAGATGGGATCAAATGAGTGAGCTATTCACTCCTGGGATACTCTGTTTCTAGCCCAGCAATAAAATTTGCTCTACCTTGGATAAATCTGAAAAAGACCTTTCCTCCCACCACCCTCGCCTCGTGTTCTTGTCCATCCTTATTGCATCAGTGCTCGAAGGTGTCAGCCCTTTGTAAATGGCACCCTCAGGCATTGTTAATGTGTCTCATAGTTCAGAATTACTTCATCTGGCCTTTCTGATAAAGACCACACAACTCTCCTTGCGGTTTGGCACCACACTTCATTTTGTGGGTGTAAACAACCCTGGGAGCGGAAAAGTTGGCATTGTTAGGGCTGCTATTCATCTGGGTGTCCCTGGATATGTCCTTCTTTTTCCACCTAAAATGTTGTCTGGATGGAAAAAAAAAAGATGTTTTTTGGCCTTTTGTCCCAACATTCCAGACCTCTGGCAGCCTGGTTGGAGCCAGCAGTTCCTATTGGACTGGGAGCATATAGCCATAGGAAAAAAGTGACCATTAGATTTCTTTCCTCCCCCCTTTTTTATTCCCACAACTCCCAGGTTTCAGTATTTTAGAATTTTCTGGGAATTTTGTATCCAAAAATTTGATCTCACTAAACTCTAGCTTCAAACTTAATTTCAATGGCACTCCCACATAAAAGAACCTCCATAGGGTGGTAATAATTATAAAGTAAGAACACAGCCAGATTGGCTTGATGCAAAACTAAAGGAAGTCAAACAGAAAGCTGCAGCAGAACTGCTTCTTTCCCATGGAAGTTAAAAAGTTCAACAGATTTTAAGTTGTGCTTTGTTTGATGCAAAAAGGGATAGAAAGGGGTGTGGGGCTGGGAGCTAAACTCAATTCTGAGCTCCGTTGATAATCTGCTGCATAGTTTTAAAATAGTTTCTTTACATTTTAACCTCCAGCCTTCTTCTGTATAGAATACAGAATATTTTCTGTACACCTCCTTTTTCTGTCAAGATCTCTGAGAAATATGGCTGAAAAGAAGTTTAATTGAAGGCCTAGGTTCTCTGCTCATGCACTCTGGCAGGCAGACAGCTGTATCCACATGGTGGGGGGACACCCAGTTCTGCACAGGGAGGCTCAGCAGCACCTTGCAGGGTTGGAGGTGGTTCCTGGGGGGCTCAGCAGGAGCCTGGGAGGGTCTGCAGCAGCAAATCCTTACTCTGGCACAATGCTGGAGGAAGGGCTGTGCCACAAAAGAGAGGTCAGCTCAGGGCTTGTTTATTTATGGGTGTTGAAGATCTTGTAGCTGAAGTAAGGCTTAGGGAGGTCAGCCTGGTTTCTGCCTGCTCAGATTCTGTTTGCAGTTTCCTAGGGATAAGATCCTCACTGTTACATTCTGTGGGCTGGTAACTGGCTGCCACATTCCAACCCTCAAGTCCCTGCACTTCAAGGCTGATAGAAATGGCCACCCTTAAGTCATGTAAAACTAAAATATTTTGAGCTTAAAGGCACTATGCAAATATGCTGTTACTGCAAGTCAGTGAACATGGGCTCTTAAATGGAGCAGAACAGGATGCAAATCTGTCATCATTTTCCAGCTGGCAACTACTGCCTAAGTTACAGAGGGAATGAATGAGGCCTCAGTGTGCTCTGCTGCAAGGTAAGCTGAGCAGTACCTGATCCCAGAAACTTTCAGTTGATATTAATCATGCTAAGAAGAAGGTGGCAGGGTTGTGAGAGAATTTAAATGAACCTTTTAACACTGCTGAACTTCAGGCCACTTGAGTCATTTGGAGGCTTCCACTCTTTGTCCCCCAAAAATGAGTGCCTGCTCAGAGCTCAGTGTAGCAGAGCAGCTGCTGCTTTTTGCAGTTCAGGGAACAGCCAGACATGCAGCACTGGTGTAACTTACACTTTCTATATGGACCAAAGCTTGTTCCCTGTGGATCCCAACAAAGCACAAACGGAACAGATCTTGTTCAGTCATATGAAATCAAACATGCAGGAGTCTCTGCTCACTCGAGCCCAGCCAGGGAGAAGCCTAGGAGGTTTAAATTACACTGTGGGAGCAATTCCTCATCACCTGTGGTTACAGAAATATAGACAGTATTTTCATCTGCTGACACAGCCACGGAACATCCCAAGGAGACCTTGGGAAATACCTTCCAGCGACTACAGGGCATTTCTCAAGTGGCTGTCACAAGGCTTTTCCAGAATCAGCTGCTTATATGGTCATTAACTTTCATTTAGCTTTTGTTTAACCGCATTTCAGGTTAAAGAGTTTCTAGCAGACACTCTGTGAAGTCAAGTTCGCTGAAGGGCAGGCTGTGAAGGAACACATAGGACAGGCACACAGCAGATGTGAAGGTAATATCAGATCCCCTTCTTCTCACAGGCAGTTTGGCCATGTCTAATCCCTGGGACACAGAGATGCATCCCATCTCCTTGGTGCGGGTGTGTATCCTGGCCAAATTCTGTCCCCCTGGCACCAGCACCCTGTGTGCAAAGGTTTGTGGATGCACAGACTGGTGAGTGCCTGTCCCAGCTCCAGGCTTTGGGACGGGGCCACCTCCTGAGCATACCAGCTCTGGAGTCTAAATATAACCAGCTCAAAGATAAGCAAAGCTTAGATTTCTGTGCCCAACAGAAAGCAGGCTTCAGAAGGGAGCTGCTCAGGTATGTTTGCCAACAGAGATGAAGCAGTTTAAAGGCTTGCAGCAGTAACACACATCCTGGGGGAAAAAAAGAAGGAAAAAAAAGGTCCAGGCTCTTCCTTACCCTAAGGCAGTTTTATTCTGAGTCATCATTTGTCTTGTGGCTCTTCCTAGAGTGCCATATCGCTGTGTCAGCCCTTCCCAGGGCTCCCAAAACATGGACATTATGCGGGATGGGCAGGATGGGGCATTACCATGCAAGGGAAACACTGCCTTTAAGGGGAAAAAAACCAAAAGACGTGGGGTGGACCCAGCGTTGGAGCTAATTGTAACCCTGTCTTGTCCACAGCCTCGAGGAACTGCACAGGTATTTAACATCTTCTTGGCCTGGGCAAACATCTGGACTGGTTTTTAAGAGTGGCAGCAATTCCCTGTGATGATTGTGGCCAGTCTCAGTTTTGTTTGCCACAGGCAGATTTGTTTTCTCCTGCTCAGGAACAACAGAGTTAACCAGTAATGACCTGCCAGCTTCCACAAACCACAGGGCTGTGTATATAGGACAAACACATTCTGAAGGAATTAAGGCAGTGGACATTTTATTACTGCTACATTTTCTAGGAATCATCTGCAAATGCCCAGGCAGTACATAACTCTGTTTTTGAAAATGTGTTTTGCTGTATTGCAGGGCACAGCTTTGCTTTTTGATTTCCAGGCTCTTAAACCAGAATAAACGACCCAAATTCCTTTTATTTAATATTTATTGAATCAGTATTCCTATCTCATTTTCCCTCTTAATTGGCTGCATACACATTAAGTTATGGTGACAGGAAATGACAGATGAAAATGACATGCAGTTTTTACATATATTTTTCGTCAGTGAAGCTCAAAATATTTTTAAATCATTAGCGCCATTTTACAGATGAAATCCTGAAAGACAGGGCAGGAAATACTTCATCTGACAGGCATGGGGTGGAGCTGGAGCAGCCACTGCAGCTGCTGCTCCCTGTGCTGCTGCCAAAATACATTTTGAATGATGAGAGAAACCATAAGTACGTGTAAGAGTGCAACTGTAATGTTCAGTAACAAAAACTTTAATGAATGCGTGAGGTGGGACATATTTTAAAGGAGACAATAGGGAATCATAGTTTTATAAACAGAGTTTTAAGGAGTGGGCAGGATATATTTATTGTTTGCAGGTATTAGGGATCAAAACAACTCAAATATTAATTTATAGGGATACTTTTGCTTGCATTAACTGCCTCTTTCACACTCACTGGCTTGAGCTGAAATTTCTGGGTGTGGGGACAAGTGTATTGATTGGAGTGTGGCTCAGCAAAGCACTAAAGTTTAGAGCCACGCAAATTACAGACAGGCTCTCAAATGGTCCAGTTACTCTCCCTGGCAATTGCTAAGCTTATCCTCCAACAGAGTAGTGTTCCCTTCGTGTTTTGGCTGGTCTCACTGTAAAACATGCAGGTGTAGGGTTTCCACCGTTTTCCCCAAGGACACTATTTTGGGAGGTGAAATCTCCACGTCACATAGGTTTTCCTGCTGCTCAGCCAACACTTCCCATTCCTTAACAGGGCAAGTTCTTGTTCTCTGTGGTGCCCCTGCTCCGTGCCTCTACACCAGACACAGGAGTTTGGGCCCTGTCACCTGAGCCAGGCT